TTTTATTATAATTTTAATGTTGACATTATGTTCAAAGGCAATGATGCCAACTGTTTAACCAAAAATAATAAAGCAAAAACAATTAAACAAAAACAAGAAAAAACAAAAAAATAAGCAATAAAACAACAGAAGATGAGGCACGCCTCTGTTAACTTTTACGCACGGCTGTGAGAAAATCGAGATATAACTTCGCTTTTGTCACTGTAATTCTGCTTAACAGCGTTTATTATGAAATAAGCAAAATTATTTGTTCTTAAGCAATTGATAAACACTACAAGCAAACACAAGCAAATGAAGACACAAGTAAAGCCAAATAAAAAAAAACATAACCTTGACTTTGAAGTCACACTTCAGAGAAGTAAAATTTTACTAAAAATTGTTAGTGTCATTGAGCGAAACTTACCTACCACACGCAACGCAGCTTCTTTAATTGATAATTTGACGGTTTTATTTGCGCTTTTGCCTGCTTTTTCTCCTCTCTCTTTTTTTCGTCATTTACTGCTCGATTGTGCATAATTAAACACATTTATACACATGCGTTAAAATTCATGCAAAAGACTTAAGCCAACAAAAACAAAAACAAAAACAGAAAACAAATTAAAACAAAAGCAAATAAAAACTTTATATGAAATTGGGTAAGAAGCGACTGCCTATGTTGCTAACGCATCAAATGAAGTCATTCACTGACATACGTACGTATTCTTTGAGGCGAATACCAAAGAAGGAGGCGAAGAGCGTACATTGGTGATTACCAGATGCGGAACGAAAGCTTCTCGTTGAGAAATATCTTAACTTAATTTGGCTAATCTTCGTATAATTAACTTAATAATTAAGTTCTTTATCATTGCCGCAATTATCTAGGCGTTTTATTGACTGAAAGTGTTAATTAAATAATCTCATAAATCACGCAATAATTGATTTTTTAACAAGGGCATAATTGAAAAAAAATATGCATAATAATTAGTAAAAATATTAGGAAATAATATAGTTTTTTCTATTAAATTCTAACTATTTTTTACTTGTGTAATCAATTATTTAAATAGATTATATGTGTAATATTATATCTTTTAATAATATATTTATATGCCAGTCAGTTTAACCCAATAAAACCAACTTTTCGGATTGAATGAAATAGATTTCCAGAACGATGTGGAAATCTCATTTTAGTAATTAAGGGAGATATATGAGATCAAAAGATATACAAAAACTGAAAGTCCAATCGATGCCTGCGTCGTATTTTTTGGAGCAAATTAAAACAAATAACAACCGCAAATCAGAAAATAGTTCTTCTTGAGAAATGCTTGCGTAAGTGGAGCTGGTTATGGCATACACTACGGAGGCCTCAAGATGATATTACCCGTATGGCCATAGACTAAAATACGCAGGGAAACCAACGAAGAGAACGGCCGGTTCATACATGGTGCAAGCAACTTGCGCTTACAGCTGCTAAGACTGGAAAGACCTGGGGAGAAATGAAGAGTATTGCATCGAATAGAATGGAATAGAAAAATTTATTCCTTTGCTCTTCATAGGAAGTACGGGAACTAATATGTATGCACCTTAGTACCTAGAAATTTAAGTTTATCTAAGCCCGAATTTCAGTTACTATTTCTGTACATTTTTATTGACTTTGTTACAATATTTAACATGTAAATATCCTGTTAAGCTATATTATTTCATCCAATAATGATTTGAAAGCAAATCAAATCCAAAATAATCCAAAATATTGTATGTAAGCCATGGTCTAGCTTAAATATTCCGTATACGCCATGCATTCCGTTTGAAAACTACGAATTACAGTCTCGAATTGCAGTATGAGTATATAATTTATTTTCATTTGTTAAAGAAATCTGGCTGTTAAATAAGCAATAATTAATATGAATGTTAAACTTTTATACAAATTAAAGCTATGTCTAATACTCTGTGACATACATTTTGCTGGTGAGAAAAATTAAATTACTTAATAAGAATGTCACAAGCTAATTTACGAAATTTATATACATACATATATTGTATCTGTTTGGAAGATTTGAAAAAGATGCGTACAGGTAAAAGTATTACGATATTTTGTTTTTCGCATTTCATCTTCCATTTAAGTTATCTAAATTCTTCTTAATTCTTTCCAATATATAGCATATATACCTCCAAATTAATGTGAAAAATATGATTCGTCATTAAGAAAAGGCACTAACTGTACATATACACGTAAGTATTGCTGTAGTTACGTGTACACACAATTAAGAACTGACTTCTCAATAAAACCTAAAGTTAGTATTAAAAGTCATAAAAATAAAATCTTAATTTCTTACAAAGACTATTCATATCTGACTCCTGGACAGAAACTGCAGGTAGTGCCAATGGACTTTATAACATTTCTATATACAAACATATTATTACTAAGGACTAAGTAGTTTAATTTATATATATTATTAAATTTCCATCTACTATACATGTAAACTTAAATATTCCACAAGATTACTGAAGTACTGTAGAAATATTTGTTAGACCGTTTTGAGAATTTTGAAGCCCGTGGGTAACTGAACAAACTACGCCAACATTGACAAAGAAAACATACTTTCTTGACTTTAACACCCTTCTTTATTATTACTAAAAGAAATTTTTTTTAAAAGTTAGACGGATTTGAATATCAAAGAAAGGACAAGAACAAAAATTTATTTAATTTATTGAAATTTGGCTAACCATACAACGATGTTTCGAGTATTGCCAATTTTTTTTTTATTAATAAAAATATACAAAGCAAAAAGCAAATAAAAATTGTTGTTCTCCAAAAGGCTTATATCCTAGGGCAGTTATCCGTCTTGCTCTAAGGATAGAAGCGTCTAGTTTATAAAGGTAAAAGCCACAGAAAATGAATATTCTAACATTAATTCTATATATTGCATTTTACTATAAGCCTCTAGTTTAGGAAATTTTTTTCTAGAAGTATTCAGTTTGGCAATCTTTTGTAGCACCACCATCTTGATGATTTATATTGAAAAATAATTCACTCTAATTTTTTGCCGAGTTATAATTTTAAAGTAAACTTTAAATGACAAATCGCGTTCAATTTATAAAATATACTAAATATGATAGTAGTAAAAATTGTCAAATTGTCATTCATTCTATTAAAAGTATCACCTGACACGTAACAATTCTTAGGGCAACTAATGTTTATAAATAATAAGTTATCATCACGACTTAAAAACAAAAGTAATTAAGGAACATTTTGCTTTAAATACGGGGTCATTTATCATTATTTCAAATAAGTATATATATTATACTAGCTGTACTCCACCTGCGTTACTACGTCTTACAAATTTTTTAATAAGAAAGTTTTTATAACTCTACATTGAAATTTTGAATTTTATAAAGTAACTATTCTTTAAGACATCGATTAGATTGGTTAGTAATAAAGACATGGAATGAGAATGATAGAAAAGCTTGGAACCAGATAAGCTTATCCTTATGATTCTCTACAACAACAGTTCAGATTTTTTGCACAATTTAAATTAATTATATTGCAGTAGAAAATAAGATTTAATTTTAAATTACAATTGTGTTTTCTTTTTCTTTGTGTCTGTTTCCCCTAAAGGGGCATAGGGCCGCAACGATTCTTTTAAACCGCACTCTGTTAAGTGCTTCTCCGTTCGTCCGTTTTGTCAATTCATTTGTTACTAAAAGATTTATCTACAATTTAAAATCATTATTTCTGGCCGCCCACAAAATAAAAAGTTTTTCCTATACCAATACTAGCAGATAGGAATAGTCCATATTTGATGTACCAGCTTCCAGAAAAATAAATTTTAAATATATTGTTTTATGGTGGGTGCCTTAAATATTGACCCAAAATAAATAGTTTATAAATTATATATCCTGTCTTTATATGGAAATTGTGTGCTGTAATTATCCCGCAGGTAAATTTAACAATTAAGAAATTAAAAATTAACATTTTTTTTGACTATAAATAAGAAAAAAAACATTTTATATAGATATTACATGCTATCGTAAACATCGCTTCAACAGTTTAGATGAAAATTTTATATTAACGAATATCTTGTATGATGTAGTAGCTATCTTAAATATTGAATTCTAAATGAAAATGTTAGAAAGGATATTCGGTACCTTTATATAGAGACTACGCATTATAAATATCATCTTATCTCATGTTGAGCCTTTTCCAAGTTAGTGCATCTGGCCACTTTTACTCTATGATGGCTGGGGGTTTCTACAGAGTTCCACCCATCTCACTGACTAATTTGAGTATTCCTCATAATCTTCGTGATTATTCAATGATTGATCTAAGATCTGCGTACCGCCACGTGCGGTTAGCGATTACTTTGAGATTAGACAAAGCTAAGTAGGGCAGCCTGTCGGTTTTCGCATATGGCTTCAGAGCTCTGTCCCTTATGTATTTTTTGACCGGATCTATACTAAGGTCCTTTAGCGGTTTTAAAAAAAATCTTGTTCGTATTCAGTTAGTTTATATTGTGGTCACTTTAATTATAGTAAGTATGTAATACTTATGTTATGAAGATTATGTACCATAAATATCATACGATTCGATGTTAATAACAACATCTGTTACGAACATATAGCAAGTAAATTTTTTTATTATATATATATATATATATAATAGATATAATAGATATATATATATAGATATCGAAATAGATTTCAAAATACAACCAACAATTTATGTATATATGTAGGTATATAACACTTTTATTTTCCTGCCATATTTTAATAGTTTTTTCGAACTCTAAGTAATCTTTTAAAAAAATTAACTACAGATTCAAAAATAAAAGCAGCTTACGGAAAGTTACAAAAGATAATTAAGGACTTCGAAGGAAGGCACAACATATTTTATTTATTTTAAATTAATTTCTATAACTTTCAATAAACTAACAACATTTAATATGTATAACTTAAATTAAGAACTTCTTAAAAATACATTTAAAGAATAAATTAAAATTAGTAAGCGGCATTAGTAGCCTATAAAAAAAAGCTATGCTTAAATTATAATGTCAACAAAACTCTAAGGCTTTGCGCTCTATCGGCGGTCATTCATTCATTTTGAATAATTGAAAGATAAAAGATTCTTAATTTACATTTTAATTTCAAATGTGCGTCGAATTTACATAAATGCGAAGACGCGTTTTTTTTTTTTTTGTAAAGTAGCCTGATCGTTAATCTGCCTATTTGTGCGAGTGCGAATGTGTAGGCAAAACAGATTTTGAGAGAAGTTATACGAGTTGTTCTGTTTTCTGTTGATTCGCCTCTAATTTACGATCCACGCAAATTTACATCTGAGCACGGTTTTTGGCAAAACGCGCTTGTAACAGAAAAGCCAAGAACGCTGATATAAATACCAGAAAATTCTCTGGATAAATCATTATAGTTTTGGTTAATCTACAGTGAACACAGTGGTAGTGGCTAAAGCATAAAAATGGTACGCATAGTTTTTACATGATCTTAAGGATCATAAATGTGATATCATATACAAGAACAGTGAATTCAATTAAAACAATTTATATATTAAAAGTAAAAAAATAATAAAAATTCTTATTCTTGTTTTGTTTAAAATGTAGAAACTGTTATTGATCGCATTCGCCGTGATCGCAGTAGTTGCTGCCGATGTCAGTCATTTGTCCAATGAGTACTTACCCCCAGTAAGAGAAGCTGCTCCAGTAGCTGCACCAACTAACGAATACTTACCACCTGTACAAGAAGCTCCAGTCCGTGTTGCACCAGCTCCAGCTCCAGTTCAAGTGCAAGTTGCTGCTCCAGCTCCAGCCCCAGCTCCAGTACAATACGCTGCTCCAGTTCAAGTTGCTGCCCCAGCTCCAGTTGAAGCTGCTCCAGCTCATGTTCTCGCTGATGATGGTTACCGTTACAAGACTCACCGTCGCGTTGTATATCGTCGCCACCGTCGTGATGTCAGCCATTTACCATCCAACGAATACTTGCCACCAGTGCAACAATCCGCTCCAGTAGCTGCACCAACCAACGAATACTTGCCACCTGTACAAGAAGCTCCAGTCCGTGTAGCACCAGCTCCAGTTCAAGTACAAGTTGCTGCCCCAGCTCCAGCTCCAGTACAATACACTGCCCCAGCACCTGCTCCAGTTCAAGTACAAGTTTCTGCCCCGGCTCCAGTTGAAGCTGCCCCAGCTCATGTTCTCGCTGATGATGGTTACCGTTACAAGACTCACCGTCGCGTTGTATACCGTCGCCACCGTCGTGATGTCAGCCATTTACCATCCAACGAATACTTGCCACCAGTACAACAATCCGCTCCAGTAGCTGCACCAACCAACGAATACTTGCCACCTGTACAAGAAGCTCCAGTCCGTGTAGCACCAGCTCCAGTTCAAGTACAAGTTGCTGCCCCAGCTCCAGCTCCAGTACAATACTCTGCTCCAGCACCTGCTCCAGTTCAAGTACAAGTTTCTGCCCCAGCTCCAGTTGAAGCTGCTCCAGCTCATGTTCTCGCTGATGATGGTTACCGTTACAAGACTCACCGTCGCGTTGTATACCGTCGCCACCGTCGTGATGTCAGCCATTTACCATCCAACGAATACTTGCCACCAGTACAAGAATCTGCTCCAGTTCAAGTTGCTGCCACTGAATACCACTACGAACCCGTTCAAGTAGCTGCCCCAGCTCCAGTTCAAGTAGCTGCTCCAGCACCAGTTCAAGTAGCTGCCCCTGCCCCAGCTCCAGTACGTTATGAAGCTCCTCAAGTTCAATATGTTGCCCCAGCCCCAGCTCCAGTTGAAGTAGAAGCTGCTCCAGCTCATGAACTTGCTAATGATGGTTACCGTTACAAGACCCACCGTCGTGTTGTATACCGTCGTCACCGTCGTGATGTCAGCCACTTGCCATCCAACGAATACTTGCCACCAGTACAAGAAGCTCCAGCTGTACAATATGTATCAAATGACATCCAAGAATCTGCTCCAGTAGCTTATGAACCAGCTCCAGCCCCAGTACAATACTCTGCTCCAGTTCAAGTAGCTGCCCCAGCTCCAGTTGAAGTTGCTCCAGCTCATGAACTTGCTGATGATGGTTACCGTTACAAGACCCACCGTCGTGTTGTATACCGTCGCCACCGTCGTGATGTCAGCCACTTGCCATCCAACGAATACTTGCCACCAGTACAAGAATCTGCTCCAGTTCAAGCTGTTGCTGTACAACAATCTGCACCAGTTCAATATACCGCTGTACAAGAATCTGCTCCAGTTCAATACGCCGCTGTGCAAGAATCTGCTCCAGTAGAAGCTGCCCCAGCTCATGTTCTTGCTGATGATGGTTACCGTTACAAGACCCACCGTCGTGTTGTCTACCGTCGTCACTAAGTCCCTACTACCAGAGCTTGTTTCACAAGAAGTTGATTTGTGCTCATTTTTGAGTGCAACCTTTAGTATTAAAAAATGTTATCTTTATGGTTGCAAAATTATAAAGTAAATAAAATAGAGAATGTATAATTTTTCACAAAAATACTAAAATTAAAGAGTTATCATTTTAAATATGTAAAATAAAACCACTGGTATTTTGTATTCGAAGTTCCTTTCTTTTTAAAGCTTCTTATTCTTCTAAAGCTTCTTAGTGATTATAGGACAACTTATTTCCTATTCAAAGACCCAATGACTAAATACAATTTGATTGCAAGGACAGGGTTCAAGTTTGATAAAATTTTGGTTCGATAGTGGTAAAAATGCAAGTTTTCTTTTTATAAGTATTTCCCTGTTCCATAGGAAGGAAAGGTTTCTCAATAGAAGTAGTATTCTGCTAATGTGAAATATGTTATAAATCGTTTTTTATAACTATAGTTATTAAATTATTACAGAAATGAGTGTTATATCAGATACTCCTAATAAATTACTGTTTTAACGGCCAATAATTTTTTAATAATTTTATTTTTAAAATGAGCTAATTAATCAATTTGTCTATTGACCATTTAGCCCATTTTAATAAAAAAATCAGATACTTTTAGCAAATGATGTTGTCTAACTAATGAGTACGAAGGCACTATTTCTCTTCATTATCATGCAACTCTACAAATTTCTTTCTTGTCTTTCGAATAATTGTCAGAATAAAGTTATTTCAATCACTTTGCTTTAAACAGAAAAAGATATTTATGAGTGCAAATAAAACTTATTTAATTATCAATTAGCAGTCATTGAAAACAGCATAAATTGCCCATTAATGAGTTAATTTTTTGCAATCCTTTAATAATGCAATGAGCCAAAATATGGTGAGCTTATGGAATTAAACTTGAAATCTAAGTCAAGCCAATTTTTTATCGATTTTGTTGCTAAAAGTGTGACTGAAGATGCTCAAGAAGAATAGAAACAACTTTCAATGAAATAATAAATAAAAAAAGTGTAGAGCTTAAGAGACGAAACCACGATAGTGACGAAACCGGCTTACTATATTAAAATTGTTGTTCTTTTCGGTTGCAAAAAAAATATTATCATAAATTTCCAATTAAATTAATACATAATGCAAATATTTCGCAAAATTGGTTAAAATCATATAAAAACGCTTGCACTATTCGAGAAAAGTATCATTCCTGTTTTGGCTCTTCATCTAATAGGAGACAACAACTAAAAAAATGGTTGGTCTAACTAAAAGTACAGCACAAAAGGATTACATCTTAACTAATCACAAATTTTGCATTTTAGAAATTCTTCTTGCTGATCTGTGCTGTTATTGCAGCTGTAAGCGCTGATGTCAGTCATTTGCCATCAAATCAATACTTGCCACCTGCTGCTTCAGCACCTGAGCCATCGTACTCAGCACCCGCACCAGCTCCAGCTTATCATGCCGCCGCCTCTGCACCAGCTGTAAGCTACTCAGCACCAGCACCCGCACCAGTTAGCTACTCCGCACCAGCTCCATCTTATCAAGCCGCCGCTTCTGCACCAGCTGTAAGCTACTCAGCACCAGCACCAGTTAGCTACTCTGCACCAGCTCCATCTTACCAAGCCGCCGCTTCTGCTCCAGCTGTCAGCTACTCCGCACCAGCACCTGCTCCAGTCAGCTACTCTGCCCCAGCTCCATCTTACCAAGCTGCTGCTTCTGCACCAGCTGTAAGTTATTCAGCACCTGCACCAGTCAGCTACTCTGCCCCAGCTCCATCTTACCAAGCCGCCGCTTCTGCTCCAGCTGTTAGCTACACCGCTGCTGCTTCTGAACCTGAACCAGCTCACTCATTCTCTGCTAATGATGGTTACCGTTACAAGACCCACCGTCGTGTTGTATACCGCCGCCACCGTCGTGACGTAAGCCACTTGCCATCCAACGATTATTTGCCACCACACCAAGGCGCCGCCTCAGCACCATCAAGCGAATACTTGCCACCAGCAGCTTCTGCTCCAGCACCACAATATGAAGCCGCACCATCATACCAATCATACTCTGCTCCAGCCGCTTCCGCTCCAGCTGTATCTTTTGCTCCTGCACCAGCTGCCTCAGCTCCAGCTGTATCTTTTGCTCCTGCTCCAGCTGCTTCATACTCTGTTCAATCATACGCCGCACCAGCTCCTGCTGTCTCCTACTCATCTGCCCCAGCTGAAAGCTACTCTGCTGCTGCCTCCGAACCAGCACCAGCTCATAGCTACTCCTCCGCCGATGGTTATCGTTACAGAACCAACCGTCGTCGTGTATACCGTCGCCACAGATATTAAACCAACAACAAAGCTCTGAATCAAGTCAAATAGGAAGCTTGATTTGCAGTATTTCAAAATTAAAAACATGTTTTTTAAATCGAACAACAAAAAATAAAAATAAAAAAAATAAAAACAAAAAAGGATTTTCTCCCACTTTAATCGTTGAACTTTGAAATTCAAAATCCTCGAATGGAAACTTATTCGAATTCATTGGCACTCGTACTTCCGCTGGCATAAGTTATTCAGCACACTTGTCACTTTATTAATTTTATTAATTTAAAAATTAAATTGAACTCGATATGTGAATAAAACTCTTCACATATCGAAAAGGTTAATAGAGAGAGGAAAAAATATTGCCACATGATTAATTTAACCCAGTTTAAAGTGTTTTAAAGCTGCATTTATGCAAAACTGATTGAATTTTAAAGATCATTTTGCTTAACCTACTGTAAAGTGACTTTAATTAAAAACTTCGTTGAATAAATTAAGTTTGAATTGAGATCTTAATACTCTTGAATAGACTTTTTTGAAGCTTGAAGGATTTTAGGAATTGAAAAGGATTCCTGATATAGCAATTATGCAACCTCGGAAAAAAAACCATATATAAAATCACTAGGGATAGTAAACTATATAATTGATACGATTTTAGACTTAAAAATAATCAGTTCTTAGTATAATTGTAATTTTTGATAACTTTATGCAAACATATAAAGTGTTATTCTAAGTAGAATATGTTTTCAAAATGATTTAAAAAAGAAACATAAATTGGAAGAAAGGACATAAGTTTTTTTATATTAAATATATATTTTTATAGCATTAATATCGAAAAGTGTTTCCAATCACTTAAGGCCTTAATCGTAAGACCTAAATCCATATATCCTCCAAAGAATGAAATCCTTGCTAACTTTTAGAGACAGATGAATAACTTAAAATAATTCTACGGAAAACTCGCTACTGGCTAAAAATTCACACGATCCCGAAGCCAAGTCCATTTTTGGAAATAGTATAACAATCGTAGATTTGCTTTAATAATTCGTTGATTAATCTGATAATCTGAACATAGCGTGTTTATCAATTTTTATGAAATAAAAAATTTTTTTCAGTGAGTCACTTTCCTGTAGGTTTCACTGACTGTGACATTGCGATTCTCCTCATTATCGTACAAGTAGGACCAAATAATATCCCTGTTCCCAAAACAATAACAACTAAAGCATTTTGAGGATGCATTTGAATATAATTTATAAACACCGCTCGGACCTTAGTATTTGACTGTTGATTTGTAAAACTTTACATAATAAAAATATGGAGTTATATCCACAATGATGGAGACCATCCAATGATGGTCTTTAATTTATTTGACATTTTGCTGTGCTGTGTTGCTTTTCGGTTAGGTCATGTCTAAGAATAACTCCGTGACAAACTCCAAGCAGATCGTCTATGGGTCTGTTGCGTTATCCCAGGGCTCTTATTTTAAAGGTGTTCCAATTTTTAGTGGTTTTTTTAAAGAACGTTTATTCCTTTTTCAAGAGATACTTTTAACGTTATTATTTAATATTTACTATTCATTACCATATTTATCGTTATTCATTTTTTTGAATCGATTATTTTTCCATGTAACCTCATCTCCTATACAGGCATTGTAGTCACTATGTTCTAATATAGAGATGATGGATACGTTGTTATGTTTGTTGATATCATTAGGACACATGGCATAGGATAGGATTGCTTTAGATTTAATATATGGTGAGTGTAAACCTTTAATGCCCGCCTGACTATTATTAAAGAATCTGATAATACTATTGAAATATGTCTTTTCAATAGTATATAAGCTATAACTTTAAGCGCCGTCATTTCCTTATCCTTTTTGGTTTTAGTATTAAATTATGATTAATAGTTTTTTGAAAAATAATATCATATATTCCTGTTCAGAATAACAACGCTAATGAATTTCGTGATCTTCATCTCTTTGATTTTAAACTTTCGAAGCCATTCAGTTCGTGGTCACAAATTTTAAAAATTAACTGCTATAAAATATAACTGAAAAAAATTATCTATATCATTTTAATATAGCAAATTGATATTTGTAATAAATAAATAATCTTATATTAATACTTGCATTACTTAATTATTTCAATTAAAAAAATAAAGTGGATAAAAACTGTGATATAGAGAAAATTTCAATCTAAGAAATGATGCAAATAATCTATTTAAGTGAACCTTAACGCAAGCCAGCTGTTTCAGAACCATAGGACCCCCAATACTTTCCTGGAAGATGAGGATAGGACAGATAAACCTGTTTCAGATAACTCCAAATATTCATAAGCGGCAGTCTTTGGAAACATCTATTAATTTTATTATCCGGGGTCTGATTTAATTTAATTTTCAGACTATAACAATTAAACCTGGAAAATAATTATTCAGGTTGGAAAATACTTGATTGTCAGTTGAAGCAATATTAAAAAGACTTATTTTTAATAAAATTATATATGTGACCGAATATACATTGTTCTTAATATTGTTAAATTATTTCAATAAAAAATTTTTTAATATATAAGGCAGTTTAGATTTTGTGACTACTACAATTTTTATAAGATATCTTTTTTTAAGTGGTTTGATTTTCGGCGAAATTAAAGATTGAAATAAAAAAAATTACTCAGCTTAAAAATATACTACAGATTTTTAGATCTTTATGTAAGCCTTACTTAAAAAATTAGCTTTAGTGCGGCTTCAAACACTATTTAAAGATTCTTCTTCAATGATATTTTGTTTAAGCCTAATTTATTACTACGGAAAGTTAAAAATAGTTATGGGTATAGCCGTTTTTTAAAATATAAAATATTTATTGTGAATATGTTCCTTTATATATTTTAATAAATTTTATAAACATGGCGAAGAAAGTTCGGTTTAGCTTTATCAAAACTTAACCTTGTAAAGTCTAAAAAAGATGCGAAGTGTGAGTAGAAATTTAGGTAGAAATTCTTTTCTTTCATAGATTTTTCTTTCAAGTGATAATCTTCACTGACAGTGACTTAGCTTAAACTTAATAACCCTGTACATACTCTCTCTATGAGTATAAATTCTTATATCCTTTGTAACCCATAATAGCCTAATAAGCTTTATAACCCATATAAGCCTTACAAGCTTTATATTCCTTATAAACCGTATAACCCTCATAAGCACTATAACCTTTATAAGCACTATATCCCTTATAAGCTTATAACCCTTATAAGCCTTATGTCTCTTAATCCTTGTAAGCTTTTTGGAGCGAATGTTCGTGAATACGTTTATAGCAATAACATAAATTTTGCCAAGTTATATAAAACAACTGTTTATTGTGATTTTCAGTACAACAGTAAATGGGCTTATGAAATATCCTATTATATATGCAAGTATGTATAACACGGTCAAGTCATTTACGAAAAAAATATATTAAAACCTTTAACTGAAGGCTAAGAAAGATAGGCTCAAGACTGTCTTTCATTAAAAATATCGGACTTGGAGATAACTTTTAATTCGACTAAGGGGCACAATAAATCTTTTAGATTCACAGTGTACTATCCCTTTTCCTAATAATAATCTATTTTACAATATTGCAAATATTATGTATATATAAGTGTTTTGTATTCCTTTACCTTTATTTTATTTCTTTCTATCGACAAAGACCACTTGTCAAATATAACATAATTAACATACGAAGTGATTTTTGGTACTAATTTAGTGATTGTATATATTGTTGTAATTAAATCCTTAAAAACTATTTTAACTCATCTATTTGCAATGATCATATTGAAAATAGTATAAATAAAAATGACATTCTTGTGCCGTATATGTACATAACTATCTTTATTATTTACCAGTCAATTTAATAATATCTATTTGTATTAATTTCACAAATATATTTTCAGTTTATATCTGCATCTACTACTGAGTGCGTCAATAGAAACTCGTTCAGCTTCGAGAGAAACCTAACACATATAGACCATTTGAAAGCAAACAGGACTTTGAACTAAGGCCGTCTATTGGGAACTATATGCGTTGGTGAGTTAGACATAGTACTTTTAGATTCCTTGATATTTAGTACCTATTATAAATAATTACAAATACGTAGTTTTTAATAAATCCCGTAAGTTTCGACTTCATTTCACAGGATTTAATAAAAACTAATTAAAGTAATAGTTATTGCAATTATTAGTTACTACACCACTACAGTTAAATAATGTTAAAATTATATATTGTATTATATTCTTTTATGAAGAGGATAAATTTTAGTTTAAACTTTAATAGTCTATAAAAATTGATGATCCTCTATAAAAATATATCTTAAATCTATAGCTAACAAATATTAATGTAATTGAAAAACTATTTCCAAGCCTAAATATCAATGAGCACTTGTTTTATTTGTTTTATATTATAGCATTCCATCCTTTTTTAGCATTGATAATGTTTATCTAAAGTTCTCTCTAGACAAGTTTTTTCTATATAATTGTTTTCTATGTTTTTAGTAAAACTAACTAACATTGTTTTAAGTTTAATTTTAAAAAAATTTATTTAAAGTTTTTCTGTAGATATTTTTTTTAGTGCAATTAGCTGGCTGTATTTTATTTTTAGTTCTAAAAATTTTAAAAGACGGGTTTTCTATAGCGATTTTTAAGCATAACGAGACATTTCTTTGTATTAATGTACCAGTTTTTACTAATGTTAGCTGGGATTTCTGGATGTATGTATTTCAGATAGGTTCTCTCTGGAATTGATATCAACTATTTTAAATCTGGAAATTTATAAACATTTTCAGTACTGAAGTAAATGATGTTAAGAACTTCTTTATTTATTTAATATTTATACTATACATGTAAAAAAAATTATATATTATATACCACCAAATAATGTTAAATATGGACTACATGTACATATATTGAAAGAAATGAATAAAAACGAGTATATAGCGCTGTTGTATTTTAAATACTGTGTATACCTTTACCCGATAATTGAATCTTCAATCTTCAGAATTTTTTTAAAATACAGTGGTCGTCCAGTATAACGAACGCTCTATATTACGAATTTTCGATATAACGAACACCCAAAATATTTACATTGATTGTTCTATATAACGAACGAAAAAAAAAATTCTGCTCCATATTACGAACAAAAAATTTTTTGTTTCTTATTCGTTTTTGTTTTATACAAATTATGCTTTTGAATATAATTTTACTATAAAACTAGCATTATTCAGCTTAGAATATGCATGTAATTGTCCGTTTTTTTTTTTTTCTGAGAAAAATGCCTATATATGTATGGCAAAATGCATATATGCAGGCGCCACTGATCTGTTGTTATGCTTAAATATCCTATATTATATTTTCAATTTGATTGTTAGTGTGACATTAGTACATACGAAGTTAATAAATGGAATAATGCTGATAATACCATCGATGTCTCGGACGAGGATGATGGATCTGATGACGAAAATATAGAAGAAAATAATTTAGAAATTATTAAACATAAAGATGCCATAAATCATTTCGAAAAATGCATAAAGTGGGCGATTAACAATAATGAAACTTCAAAATTAGCTGTACTAAGAGAACTACAAGAAAAAGCTGTTCAGAAAAGTCTTGAGTGTAGTAAAAAACCAACAAAAATTAATGATTTTTTTTACTCTACACTATGATTGAATGCGTCCTTTCTTATAAATAATTTTTGTAACAACCGAATAAAAAATACTTTTAAATAAATATATACTCGTACGTGTTTATAAGTTAATTTATGAACTCAAATATATGAAGTCTCCTAAAAATAACCATATTGGTAGGTAAATGTACAACATTCGATATTACGAATTTTTCGATATAACGAACAAGGGGTGCAACATAAAATTCGTTATATTGGACGTCCACTGTAATTAAATAAATTTTGGTGTTTCTCTTGTAGGTGGAAAAGTAGTTAGCTAAGAATATTAGCATTTATTCCTTCCTTTTATTTTCCATGATATTGTACTCGTTTTCATACTAACCCATTCCATTCAGAATCCGAGCCGTTGCTACAAGTAATATATGATCTAGAAATAAGTTCTGGAAGAAACAAATTAGCACTTACGCATTTCAAAGTCGATTTAATAAATTAATTAGCAATATTTTTTTTTATATTTTTTTTTATTTGTTTATAAATATTTCGTAAAAAATTTAACACTTTGTCAAATAAAATAATAAAAATTATTAAATAAAAAGTATGAGTATTTCGGCTTAATTAAAAATATTAGAACACAAAACAGATAAATTAACATTAAATACAGCTTTTCGTAATTTCATGCCTTTCATATTCTTTAATATACAATGACTAATTTTCGTTATTGGGCCAAGCCCAGGTACAGCTTTAAATCTAAATTTTAAATTAAATTTTCTCGTAGCTTTTTCTTTAATAAGAAAATCACTAAACGCTAAACAAAAATCGAACAATTTACAATTCAAGTGCTTAATAGTAAAATCCTATCGCCGGTCGTGGGTATGAGTACCCGCTGTCTTTTGGCAGTGGTGGGGGGAATGGAATTTCTGGTTTTGGATACGAATAACCCTTGGTAGGTTGGGGTGCTGGAGGTGGTATATATTTAGGTGGTGGTGGTAAAGTTGGTTTTGGTGGCGGTGGTGGTATATATTTTGGAGTTGGTGGTATTATAGGTTGTGGTGGAGGAACATATCTTGGTTGTGTTGGTGGTGGGAATGGAATTTCTGGTACGGGATAAGAATAACCCTTAGTAGGTTGAGGTGCTGGAGGTGGTATGTACTTAGGAGGAGGAGGTAAAGTTGGTTTCGGTGGTGGTGGTATATATTTTTTAGTTGGAGGTATTATAGGTTGTGGTGGAGGGACATATTTCGGTTGTGTTGGTGGTGGGAATGGAATTTCTGGTACTGGATAGGAATAACCTTTAGTTGGCTGAGGTGCTGGAGGTGGTATATATTTAGGTGTTGGTGGAGTTGGTTTTGGTGCTGGTGGTATATACCTGGTTGGTGGTGGTGGTGGAGGCACATATTTTGGTTGCGTTGGTGGTGGGAATTTAATTTCTGGTACTGGATAGGAATAACCCTTTGTAGGTTGAGGTGCTGGAGGTGGTATATATTTAGGTGGTGGTGGTAAAGTTGGTTTTGGTGGCGGTGGTGGTATATATTTTGGAGTTGGTGGTATTATAGGTTGTGGTGGAGGAACATATCTTGGTTGTGTTGGTGGTGGGAATGGAATTTCTGGTACTGGATAGGAATAACCTTTAGTTGGTTGAGGTGCTGGAGGTGGTATATACTTAGGTGGTGGTGGCAGGGTTGGTTTTGGTGGTGGTGGTATATATTTTTTAGTTGGAGGAGGGAATGGAATTTCTGGTACTGGATAAGAATAACCCTTAGTAGGTTGAGGTGCTGGAGGTGGTATGTACTTAGGTGGTGGTGGTAAAGTTGGTTTTGGTGGCGGTGGTGGTATATACTTTGGAGTTGGTGGTATTATAGGTTGTGGTGGTGGTACATATTTCGGTTGTGTTGGTGGTGGGAATGGAATTTCTGGTACTGGATAGGAATAACCTTTAGTTGGCTGAGGTGCTGGAGGTGGTATATATTTAGGTGTTGGTGGAGTTGGTTTTGGTGCTGGTGGTATATACCTTGTTGGTGGTGGTGGTGGTGGTGGTGGAGGCACATATTTTGGTTGCGTTGGTGGTGGGAATGGAATTTCTGGTACTGGATAAGAATAACCCTTAGTTGGTTGTGGTGCTGGCGGTGGTATGTACTTAGGTGGTGGTGGTAAAGTTGGTTGCGGTGGCGGTGGTATATATTTTATTTTCGGTTGCGTTGGTGGTGGTATATATTTGATTTGTGGCTTCGTTGGTGGTGGGAATGGAATTACTGGTGTTGGATAGGAGTATCCTTTAGTTGGTTGCGGTGGTGGCGGCGGTGGTGGGAATTTCACAACTGGTTTTGGATAATCATAACCAAGGTGCTGGGAGACATCATCATAATATTGCGCTGTTGTAAGCGCTAATAATGCTGTCACCACAAAGCTGAGTATATACAACTTCTGTAAAGAAAAGAAAAGAACATTAATTCAATAAAAACCAATTACGTATTTAAGTTTTTTTTATTTGACTTAATGTTTTTAATTTATAATTTATAATCTAATGAATTTGTCTCAATTTTTTGGAATTTTCTTTATTTACTTAAATATTTAAATATTTCTTATTAATATGCATCTGAACAAAATTAAATCGATTAAAGTTTTAAATCATTATTTAAATATATAAATAAATTTTTTTATATCAATGTTTTATACTAAATAATAATTTGTTTTATATATTGTTTAAGTTCGACTGTTAAGTAAATATTACTGTTATGAATGAAGTTTTTGTTGTGAGGCCATCTACGGAGAATTAAATAAGTCAGAGAAGTATATTCTTTGTTGAAGTACTGTCAAAATTTCATGACATTTTAATGATACGTTGTGAATTTTATTTCAACACATTTCAAAATAAAAGTTTAAATGTGTTTCATGACTTTTCTATATGGTTTTCAATTTATGCACATATATTATATTTGCCTTTAATCAATGTCTGCTTCATAATTAATGATCTGCACAAGGAACTATAATTAATTCTGTTAGTGAGTCAAGCATTTTGTTTCATTTTTAAAATATTTAGCGCCAGATTGAGTTTTACGTTTAACAAAAAACCCATATTCAAAAAGTTTCATAGCTTTTGGTAATATTAAATAGGTCAGGTTCATTGCTATGAGGTGTGTCTGAAGAGAACAGAGAAACAATTCAATGAACTTTTAAATATCTTAGGTAAATTGGTATTCGATGACAGTACTATGCCTGCGGGTGATATACTATTTACTATATTCAATAAATTATTATATGATAATATGATTATATGATAATACTTAATTAATATATGTACTTTTATGTAAATGCTTGTAAAAATATGAACTATATAATATAATATAAATATGATTGAGTATAATTGTATAACATGGTATAGCATGAATTCTCTTACGTATCTTATACTAAACAAAAAATAGAACGAATCAAGTACGATATATAAAAAATATAGTGAGTAATAAATTAGTTTCAAAAATATTTCTAAATCCAATTTTATAAATTTTAAATTTTTATTATGCTTACAGTTTGTATCTTAGGCTATTTTTAATTTATTTCAATTTTGTAATAAAATTTAATGAAGAAATTTTGCAACTAGTTAATTAAGTAAATTAAATACAAGTTTCTAATGGTTTTGCAGTAACATTTTCCACATTTGTGTATTAGAATTTTCATTAGGAAATTTCAAATTTTTATTTACTGCAGTTTTATTTAATAAATTATGCGGAAGTTTACTGTAAGCTGCGAAGAAATACAAATACTTAAACTAAAAAATATATGTCAAGAGCAACAAGTTGGCATAAGATTTTGCTTGTAAAATGTCAATTAATTGAAAATCTTCAAGAAATAAAATTGAAAACAAATATTTGTTAACTGTTATCAACCACTTAAATCCAAACTAAAGAATTCGGCACCAAAGTTTCATCATAAATCATTTTATTTTTATGATTTATAAAGCACTGTAAGAAATTTAATCAATTTTCGATTTCAAAAATAAAAAAGCTTTGGAAATGTGAATAAAATTGATTAAATCCACGGAGTTGATGATGCTTTAGGTGTCAAAAATTTATCGATGAACTTTTTTTAGGCTTTTGGAAGATACTCTAAACAATTTTAATACCAGTTTACTAACATAGTTTTGGCTTTTGTGAATTGTGAAGACAATACCAAATGAAAACAACAGTGAGTTTAACTCACCACTGCCAGAAAACATTGTGGTAATCAATATGAGCAATAAATATCTCCGAGTCGTAGTGTTGATAGTTATATTACTACCAGCCCACTCAATCCTAACCTAATTTAATAGAGTTCTGTTTAATATAAACCCAAAGCAGGTTCACTTGAAAACATTTGAAAAAAAACAAACCATGAAAATATGATATAATCCGGATTAATGTTTCTTGATCAAAAATTTATTGCTATATCACAGTATAACACATTGAAAGAAATATTCAAAAACCAGTAAAATGAAAAATATGTTTTAGGGGAAGTGGTACTACTATCTTTCCATAAAAAAATATCGTTAATTGTGGTATTAAAGGTGGTTGAAAATCTCTATTGATAGATTTTTGTGATGTCAGACATTATTAGTGGAATAAATATAAGCAGTAAAAGAAACTTTTAGTTATTCATGGACTTTAGAACACGCTTGATTTTACATCTACATTTTTTTTAGGTGTCAACCTACTTTCACAAAGTAATTTGTTTATACTTTTGAAGACCTGAACTTCAATCGCCAGCTAGCAAGCTGCAGCTCCGTCATCCTCACGGGCCCATATCCACGTCGGTCGATACAAACCCATTCTTTCAACACATTGCGTTCAACTCAAAACATGTACTCGGATAAATCTAATTCCAAAATTTGCAATGCTCAGAGAACTTAAAATAATTACAAAAATTACTTTACTAACAAAAATTAAAATCCTTACTAACATTAGCAGATATCCCATCTTCCCGCGCTCATGCAAACGGATCGATCGCTGCTCCACATATTGAGATAGAACCTCCTGCTACAACACTAACGTACCCAGGCGTTTCCAGTTT